GACGAGGACCCCGCCGGGCGCCCTCGGCGCGGTGAGTACCTGCCTTCTCCCCTCGCCACCTCGCCGCGTCCCCGCACCCCGAGGTCGCGGCCCCTACCCCGGGCGTCGCTGTGGGACGGCGTCCCGGTGAGGGCGGCGGAGCCCGGGGCTGATGATTCAGCAGCGCGGGTGCCGAGAGGTTTGGCGGGAGGGGCGGGCGAAGGACGGGTCCGCGCCGGCCTCAGTTTCTCGCTGCCGCGGAGCCCGGGCGCGTCGGGGCCGGCGGGCGGCTGGGCTGTGGAGCCGGGCTGCGCCCTCGTCCCCGCCCGACCCGGCCAGCGTGTCCGCCTCGCGTCTCCCGCACGTCCGAGTGGGGTCCGGGCCGTTACAGGCTCCTCTGAGCTCCTCCCGTCGCGCTCCTTCGGCGTCCTGCCTCAGCCTCCAGTTTACATCACGGCGGTTCCTCGACCCGGAAAGATGTGCTGTCAAAGTTGCCTGGTGTTCGGGGTGGGTCGGAAAGAAAAGATTTGAGGGAGATAGGAAATAATACTTTCAGGTCCTAGGCTCTTGCGTTTGCCTATACTATTTCATGAAATCATCACAGCCCCAGATCCAGATGTGGACGGTGAGGAGCAGGGCTGTTCTATTACACTCGGAAGGTCACAGAGCAGGAATCTGAACACAGGTCTTCCTGACTCCGAATGGGTCTGCCACTCAGTGAGTAGTGGGACCAAATGTACAAGTATATGTAGTGTTAGGTAGTAAGCACAGATTTAAGTTACCTAAGAGTAATCTCAAACAACAGCAGTAACAACCTGGAAACTTTCTGTGTGTGGAATTGTCACTCTTTTATTATGAAAGAGCATTTTTTGAAGCGAATGGAAAAAGTCTGTTTTCTTAGAAAGCGTTCCGCAAAAAATAATACCTGGACATTACAGAGGAGAGCTAGGTCAGAACAGGAGATGGTACAACACATTTTTTGGCAGTGATATATGGTGGATGCTCAGGTTTTGGAGAAATCAGTCGGGACAGTAAAAAGAAATCTGGAAATTTTTTGTTTTTAACTTTAGGTAACATTTGGAATAAGAGCAGTTATCTAGCTCATGGAGTGTGTGACTGAATCACTTATAAGAGAGTGACAGATAAACCCAGTCTCAAATAACGTTATTTGCTTCGCTACGACTTTGTGATTTGGCACTGCAGGCAATAACGCCAGTGTATAGACTAAGGCCAGCTGAAATACAGAAAAGATCCAAGACGATTGAGTGGCGTTGATTCTTAAATGTTGCCTCCATTTAATAAATATGCATGTTGTAGTGAAACCGAGTTTGTTTCTGCTCTGCTTTTTATAGGTAACAATTATTTTGACCCTGTGTGCTTCTTCTGCAGAAACAATGGATGCTAGGTCTTCCTTTCTCTTTTGGTGAGTCCTCTGACTTGCTTTCATTTATGATTTATGGATTTTCTCTTAGGTATTCAGCTCTTGTTGGTGTCTCAGGAGGCAGGTTGCCATAGTACAAACGCTTATTTTCTCTAAGTACGGACATAGTATTTGATGGCAGGCAGGAACATAATCCTTCAGTCTATTATTTCTAGAATATTGAATTTATTTCTAGTGGAGAATTCCTGCTTAAGTTAATTGAGATATTGATAGGCCAAACTCCAGTGCCTATAGAAGGACATAAGATGGAGACACAAAATTATATTTGTCGTTCAGTAAGAGAAGTAGGGTCCTGTAGTAGTCTTCAGTTTGAGTCTTAGGAGGACATTTCATTTATTTATTTATTTATTTTCTTCCTATGCCCATTGGCAGTCCCCTGAACTGTGGTGAGGCATCTTGCAATGCAGTCTGCGTAATCCCAATGGGAACAGCAGAATTGAATAAATGAATAAACAAAAACACAACATTATTGTTATTTTAAAAAGGGGTGGGAAACACACGTCTTAGTGATACATGGTCAGCATGAAAATTTCTAAGCAGAGGCATCATGTTTTTAAATAATTTTTAAATACTTGTGTGCAGTTCATGCAGTTTATGATCATCTTGGGGAGTGGTTACATGTACGTATTACAGTTTCTTTTGTTTTTTCTTTTTAATCTCCTTCCTTTCCCCTTCCCATGCTCTTCCTCCACCAGTTCCCCTATTCTTTTGTTGATATTATTTGTCTTAATAGCTCATCTTATGGTATATAGTGTTTGCATTAACAGGGGTTATTAGGTTTCTGTACATGGCCTCTCTTTATTCTTATTTTCCCTTCCTTCCTCCTCACCTCTGGCCACCCATGTTCCTTATTGCAAGATATCTGTCCTCTTGTCCTTTTCTAGCCATCTTTAATAATTTTCTTTATACTTGAGGCACATTTTATCTAGATAACATCACTTGGGGTATGAATATAATACCAACATAGCTGTGGAAGATATTTATTTTTTTGGGATCAGTTAACAAAAGAACTTAGAATAGGTTTAATACCAGGAAAAAGGTGGTGCAGATTTAATTGCTATAGCAATACTTTAAGAAAAAGAAGTAGTCAAAGGAGCAAGATAGTGATGGAAGGATCAGAATGAGGCTGCGGTGATCAGAGGATGAGGAAAGCCTTCATGGAAGAAAATGAGTTAAGTCAGTCTCAGAGCTAGGGAGGATTTCCATAGGCAGGGAGAATGCCAGACAAAAGTTCAGCTGAGAAATGATCAGAGACTTTAGATACATGGTGACAGATTAGGAAGAGCCTTGACTGTCAGTGAGATCTGTATCTGCTCTGGGAGTCATAGGGAGTATAGATTTCTTTTTTTTAAATTTTTTTTTTTATTTTAAAGAGAATAAAAAAGTAACAAGATAACAATAACAGACAAAAACAAAACAACACAAAAACAATAAAAATGATACAGGGTTTCAAAACAAAATGGTAGGAATTAACAGTGGTTGTAATATTACATATTGTTATCTTCAACGAAGTTGCTCAGATTACCAGATGTAAGAAAGCAAGATTGATCAAACCATCAGGAAGAATAAAAAGTAATAAAAAAAAATAGAAACGATATAGAGCTTCACTAAACAAGATGGTAGGAATTCACCACTGGTTGTTATATTGGGTATTGGTGTCTTCAAATTAGTTGTTCCGATTACCAGATCTAAGCATGCAAAATCGGTCAAAAAACATTTAAGCATTAACTGTTCCCTTCAGTAAAGCATTAGATATCAACAGTACAATTATCCCAGCTACCTTTCTTTATATATGTATCTTCCCCGCTTCCTTTTTTTTTTTTTTTCCTTTCCCTCATTCCAGTTGTTCCCTCCCTTTGAGCAATTTCTTTCCCTTTCACAATATCTATTGTACCTTTGGGGTTTTATTTACTCTTTCAGGTTCTTACACTAGGGAGACAATACGGAAGTATAGATTTCTGAGCAGGCCAAGTTTCCCTGTCTGTGTTCACCATATCCCTGATCAAAGGCTCCTTCCAGAAGATGCAGTATTTCCTGGTACTAAAAGAATTAGTCAACTAAATGAATAAAAAATTTTCTTACACAAGTAAAAATTTTCACATTCCAAGTAAGTTTGCGTTTTTTTAAGTCCTTACCCCAATTATCAAATTATGAAAAACTTGAAAGCTACAAAAGGAAAATTACTATAGTCTTATCAAGTGAAGACAATTGTTACTAATATTAGGTGTTTTTCCATTCTTTTTTATATGTATCTTTAATCATGCTATATTAATATATGTATATTTTCTAAATTTTGTAGTATTTTTATTGATTTACAACTAGGCAGTAGTTTATTAAAATGTCTGCATAATTTTCTATTGTGCTAGAGTTTCCTAGGCATTACTCATTGTCATTATATTATTGATAATAATAAATACCATTGTGATGAACATCTTTGTTCATAGCTGTTTCTTTATTTTGAAAATTAATTCCTTAAAATAGACTTTGTGGGTATAGAGTATGAGCTTTTAATGTCAGACTGTTTTAAGTATGTTTTGAAACTACTGGATTCTGTATGTTTAATTTGGGACATTATATGGGAGTATAGACTATTTGGATTCTCATAACACCCCAACCTGTCTGTGGCTCCTGAGATTACACTCTTTCAGGCAACTTCTTCTGTTGAAAAGAAGGATTAACTAAATCATAGGAGCTGGGAAAAAGGTGGGCAATTGGTACTACAGAAGAGAGGAGATATAATAAAAGTTGGAAAACAGGTTTGGTGAGAGTGAGCAAGAATTCATAGTAAGACAAGGGGCATATGTGTTAGAATACTTTCTGGTCCTAGGGTTGTATTTCTGAACCTTAACCTTAAACCCTCACCTTCCTACCCCTAACACACACCAAATACCTTATTTGTTTCTTGAAATGCCAGCTTCTGTCCTCCTGTATTGGATTCCTAGGTCTGTGTCCTGATACTACAAACTACAGATAGCAACTCACTCTTGTACTCTAATTTGGAGAATTGATGTAGGTGAGGACAAGAATTGGAACCTTTGCCTAATTCTAAGCATAGGCCCTGGGTGCAAGATACAGGAATGTTTTGTGAGGCATTCTCGATGGCCACTGAAGACTCCTTTCTCTTCCCTTGAGCACATCTGCCAGAGATGACCTTTGAGAACAGCAGCCCCTCCCTAGGAGAAACTTAACATTCCCACCTGCACCTCCTAGCATTCAGATCCTCCTTCCCCTTTGTTCCTGGTCTCGTTACCAGAGAAAATTCCCCTCATGGAAGAGGGAAACTGTGCCCCACTTCCGCTACCCATTTTATGAACAGCAGCACTTGCTCCTTGTGATGAGGGCAGGGGCCCAGTGTGGAACAGATGCTTTGACTGCCTCTTTCTTGCTCCAAGTTCTCACCTGAGCTTCCTCTGGGACCTGCCTCCACCTTCCTTGGACTGGAGGCTGGGAATCCATCGAAGCAAGTAGGCCATTCAGTGTCTCTGAGTAGCCGTGGAAGGAAGTCAAGAGATAGGAATGTAACTTTGAGGGCACAACTAGAGAGCACAGGCAGATTCTAAGGAGGAGATCTGAAAAGAAACAATAAAAAACTCCTCACATTACAAAATAAAAACAGGCCCCGCCACTTTCAGTTCCACTAGGAGATGATTTCTGATAGAAGGTAGACATTCAAAGGCAGAGTATTCGAGGCAGAATGTGTTGTGTGCCTAGTTGGAGCCTATTTTTAAAAGATTTACTTAAGTTCTTAGAAGGTGGTAAATCTATTTCCATTTCTGTCAGGCATTATCTGTCAAAGTTGAAGCAGGCTTAGCAAACATTTTCCGTAGAGTTAAAGGTAGAAAAGTTAAATTTAAATAGGCTATCTTGTTTATTCTCTACTGGCCTTAATTTCCCACTTGACATTTATCTTTTAACACACTTCTGTTGACAAAGCTCAGGCACTGGGATTGTTTAGGCTGTGGGAAAGTGAGTGATGAATAAATAATCCTCCCTTTTTTCTTTCACTTTTTACTTGCCAGCACCTGGTTGGCCTGTGTGTTCTTTTGAAGGCTTAGAGTTTAGTGGTCAAGTGGTTACTGAATCTTCTCCGGGACTGGCCCCAAGGTCTCTGAAAATGCTTTCCTCTTTTGAAATTGATGATACTGTTGGTCCACTGGGTGTGCTGAACCATCCACATTGTTTGCTTTGTCTAAATAGAACCATGCTTTCAGACCTGTGTTATTTTTGTCCCTCTGCCTAGCCATGTGGAATGGAACATTATAATTGACAGAGGATTGCTTTTGAACATTTCTTTCTTATCCACTACTTTGCAAAATGTGAACAGGTGCCACAGCTAATTTGACAAGATGGCAGGAGCTTGTGTTTTTAAAAAAATTCTCCCTCCTCCATTAGTGCATGTGCAGTAAAGTTGTCTTTTAAATAAATTGAACATTTATAGATTGGGAGGTAGAGCAGCAGTAACCCAGGCAACAGCTTCAAGATCATTTTAAGGCTATCTTGTTGGATCAGAATTGTATAGCTGCTCAGGTAAAGCTCTTTACTGTCTTTTTTTTGGTAAGTGAAGTGACCCCACTTAAACTTTGTATAAAATTTGTTTTACTTGATGTGGTCATACTACATCATAAACATGGAGCTTTGGTAGGAGAAGTTAGTACCTGTGTTATTTTGTGATCATCATTATTATTGAAAATCTACTTTTTCAAGGTCACTACTAAATAGACCACGTGTAACATTAATAGTGATTGCTAAAATATCAGGCCAATGATTTTAGCACACATCTCACTCTATATTTGGAACAGGCTGCAGCTAATCAAAACTATTATAGTTCTGTGGAGAAGAACAGTAGAAACTGAGCACTTTGTGTAGTTAGTGTAATGTTTATGAAACCAGATGGGGACATTTTCATTTAGCTTTAGACTTGATCACATCTGGATTATTTTAGATACTTAACATGTCTCAGTATAGTTCTAAAGATTGGTATGCATTATTTTGTGTATGTAACAATGTGAAGAAGAGAGCTGGAAAGGAAAAAGACAAAATTAGTATGTATAGTCATAGCAGCATTAGGAAATTGGTCTATAGCTGCCTCTTGTAGATACTAATTTTGACACTTATGCTGATATTTGCTGTTATATGTAAATAAAAGAATGACCTCCATTGGTTATTGAATGCTCCTTGGAGTTTTACTTCTTGTAGGGTACTGGAGAAAAAAAATAGTTTCTCAAGTTCATTCAATACTTTTCATTAATCTATGACATCTATTTTCAGCTCACATAAGCTTCTTGGACAGCACACACGTTAAACCTATCATTTTTGAAAATGTAAATGAGTTGCTTATCACAGTCACTAGGGAACTTGCCACAGTGGCTAGGCAGAAATATTCAAGGAAATTTGAAAGAGAAGCATCAGTGCTTCTTAAAATGAAACAGCCTATATGTATGTTAAAAAGCTTTTTCACTTGTCAAAAATCAGTGCCAAATAGGCGTTTATTTTTGGCAGAAACATTTACTACTACATATGTTTTGTGGTTGTCATTTCAAAAGAGGCATTTTCTCTTTTAAAAATTCATCTTGGGTATATAATATGTTTCCAGAAATATTTTCATCTTTGACAAAGAATTAAAAGTTAAATATGTTCTTCATTAGTTATATAGTATAGCCTATATATTTCCAGATTGTGCTTAATAGCGTATCTGTGAATTTTGTTTTTAAAACCTATGAAAAGTTAGAATAATATAGATAGCGAATTCATGTTCCACTGGGAACACAAGCAAATACACCAAGTATACTAATCTCTGAATGTCAAGATTTAGATCTCCAAGTAAAATTGCCTAACAGTATTGCCCAAGTAATTTTCTTTCATTACATAACTGTACATATTCTGGTAATGTGAATGTGATTATCTTAGCTTTTGGGAAGGAAAAAATAGAATAGTTTTTCTTATTTGTGGTTTTATTTTACTTGTTTCAATTGTCTATGGTCAGTCATATCTATGGATCATCCGAAAAATATTAAATGGAAATTTTTTTGTTTTTCTTCCGGTACCAGGAATCGAACTCACAACTTAAACCCCCAGCCTGGAAATTTTTATAAATAATAGTTCATAAGTTTTAAATTGCATGCTGCTCTGAGAAGCATGATAAAATTTCCTGCCCTACTATTCCATCCAGCCTGTGAGCCCTCCCTGTTATTTAGTGTATTTAAGCTGTGTACATCACCCACCCACTTGTCACTTGGTGGCCATTGCCACTGTGATATTCTAGTGCTGGGTTCAAGCACGCACTTTATTTAATAGTGGCCCCAAAGCACAAAAGTAAGGCAATCACTTAATTTTGGCAACTGAAAAACTGCAAAATCCCTCCCTCCTTCTTTCCTTCCTTCCTTCCTTCCTTCCTTCCTTCCTTCCTTCCTTCCTTCCTTCCTTCCTTCCTTCCTTCCTTCCTTCCTTCCTTCCTTCCTTCCTTCCTTCCTTCTTTTTGGTACCTGGAATTGTACTCAGGACCTGGCGCTTGCCAGGCAGGTGCTGTGCCACTGAGCTATATCTCCAGTGGTCCTTCCTTTATTTGAAAAGGTGCAAGTTCTCAACCTAAGAAGGAAAAAAAAATCACTGGTAGACATTACTGAGATCTGTAGTACAGTATGACATGGAAAGAGAACATGCATGAGATCCAGTATCTTTACATAATTTTTATTACAGCATATTTTTATAATTGTTTTATTATTCTTGTTAATTTCTTACTGTGCCTAATCTATAAAATAAATTTTATCCTAAGTGTATATATTGGGTCACTTTATGTGAGGTTTTAGCCATCCAATGGGAGAGTCTTAGACTAAACGTCCCCTGTGTAGAAGGAGGGACTACTATAATCATTTTTTCTTTCAGAAGTGTAAAAATATTGTCACTTATGCAATTATTTGGTGACTCAACATTTTATAAGGATTCCACAAGGATAACTTTTTCTGCCAATCAATATTTTGTACTACTTGTTTCTTTCAGTATAATTTGTTATTGTATAAAATATGTAACATAAAATTTATTACAACCCAGTAGTTTTAAGTATATTTATCTTGTAAAGCAGATCTGTAGATCATTTTCATCTTGCAAATC